CTCTTCATAACTGTCAGGCCTCAGAGCAAGAAGTTTCTTTGACATGAGTGAATAAGATGTGATTAAGTTGCATTTTGGCTAATTTGGGGGGGGGTTGGTGGGTGTTAGCCAGTTATTTGATATGATAGCTGTTTTATACAAGTCGTTTACAGAGTAAGATGACATATCGAACTTAGCTAATTTTAGGAGTCATCATGTTATAAAGTTTATTCTGTGAATACCAAAATTGTCATTTTCTAAGAATACTGCACTGATCTTGAAATATAAGTTTATTCTTTTCTATCAAGACTGTGGCAATTCAATGTTGTCTCTTGATAAATATTTTGATATTGAAAGCTTATTCTGTATGGTTTATTTGATGTGTTTTAAATCTTGCATGAGTGGATCAAGGAACTCTTAAGAAAAGGTCAAACAACAGCATATGAGAAATGTAGGTGCTTCAGTAGCCACGTGGGCATGGGAAAGTGAGAATTTTGAGAAACTTATTTCATAAGTGTGTATCATAGCTGATCAATTTAGAACACTTTCTTTGATGAGAGGTGAATCTCACATTCACCTGAACTGGCATCCCAACTGTCTATTTCCTGAGTGATGGGACAAGGGGAAGCACATGATAAATATTTGCGGTGTTCTGGCATCAATGCCTCTGATGTTTTCGAGTTTAAATACTCTGTAGCATTCATCATCAGCTTTGACATTGATTCTCTAAGGTTATGATTTGCTCCACTGTTTACTGGTCCCTTTTATCCTTATCAGCTCAACATGTTCACATTAATATCCATACTTTTCTATTTTAGTTATAGGCATTTGAAACAATCTCACTTTTGAAATATAAACTTTCTGATTTAGGGATCGTATATTCCTGTTTTACTCAGTATATTTCCATTACCTTGCTGTCCTAGGCATTGAAAACTCAGCTTCATACTAACACCGCATGAATGTTTGGTTGGCCCTGTCATATCTACACGTAATTGACGATGTGTCCCCTTTGCTTTGTAGGCCCTCCTGAATAACATCCTTCCTTGAAGGTAATTATATATATTTATTTTTAGTTACTAACTTTGTATTGTATAAAATATATATTATTTATTAGTTATTTTCTTTTAAAACCTAGTCAGCCTACCACTGAAATGGAAGATCGTGTTGTACAAAGAAAGAATGTATAGACATAGAGAGCAGGTACATTTTCAATACAAATGGAATGCTGGAAATAAGTATATTAAATGATTGGAAGTACTCACATTTTTCTTACCCCTAATTCTTTTTATTCTAAATGGAATAGAAGGCATTGACATACATGTTATTGTTGGTATCCATATTTCAATAAAATTAAATTTATAAATATAAGAAAACAAGGTTTTAAAAATATGAGTTTTAACTCAGATGTTTCTATTTTAATATTTTGAATAGCATGACATTTCCAAAAAGGAATTTTTATATTTCTTAGGGATTCAAAGCAGTAAATTTTGAGGTTCTAAGATACTTCCAGTATCTTATGTGCTAGTTGGAGTTCTGATACTTACCTAAAGGAATGCTTTACTTAGATATTCGTTTCTGTATTAATGTTAGAGACTTCCTGTTAATGTTATTACACCAATGATGTGAAACCAATTGAGATGTTCTAACGAGCAGACTGTGTGCATGTGTGTGTATAGGTGTGTTTGTGGCATCTTTGATTATTAAAAACTAGGAAAGTAATTCATTCATAACTGGAAGACAGTCTTAAAATGGTGGTTTTGAGACTTTTTGATATAAAAGTTTTTTTAAAAATATAATCGCGGGCCGGGTGTGGTGGCTCACACCTATAACCCCAGCACTTTGGGAGGCCAAGGCGGGTAAATCATGAGGTCAAGAGATCGAGACCATCCTGGTCAACAAGGTGAAACCCTGTCTCGACTAAAAATAAAAAAATTAGCTGGGCATGATGGCACATGGGCCTCTAGTCCCAGCTACTCGGGAGGCTGAGGCAGGAGAATTGCTTGAACCCAGGAGGTGGAGGTTGCGGTGAGCCGAGATCGCGCTATTGCACTCCAGCCTGGGTAACAAGAACGAAACTCTGTCTAAAAATAATAATAATAAGAATAATAATAATTGCATAGAGGCGACCAACATCAGGAACACCATTGAGGCTACCAACATCACTGGCTGTTTTCCATTTCAATACCCTTTTGAAATCCTTAACTGTATTGTGATGCTCAGAAATAATATGCAGAATTTTTATTTGTGTCCCAAAATGGAATGTGAGTGGTTCTTACACTTTACATATCATTCTGCCACTTTCTTGTGGGTACTTTGTATTATATTTTCAAGATGTATCCACACTGATAGGATTTGCTCTGGTTTAATGCATTCTACACTTTTCACTGTATTCCCTTATACTACTCTACCACATTGAATTAGACTCTCCTGTTGCCGATAAATGAAGAAAGAAAAAAAAAAGAAATAGAAAAATAGGCCAGGCGCGGTGGCTCAAGCCTGTAATCCCAGCACTTTGGGAGGCCGAGGCGGGTGGATCACGAGGTCAAGAGATCGAGACCATCCTGGTCAACATGGTGAAACCCCGTCTCTACTAAAAATACAAAAAATTAGCTGGGCATGGTGGCGGGTGCCTGTAATCCCAGCTACTCAGGAGGCTGAGGCAGGAGAATTGCCTGAACCCAGGAGGCGGAGGTTGCGGTAAGCCGAGATTGCGCCATTGCACTCCAGCCTGGGTAACAAGAGCGAAACTCCGTCTCAAAAGAAAAAGATAAAAGAAAAATAGGTTGGGTGTGGTGGCTCATACCTGTAATCCCAGCAGTTTGGGAGGCTGCGGCAGGCGGACCACGAGGTCAGGAAATCGAGACTATCCTGGCCAACATGGTGAAACCCCATCTCTATTAAAATATTAAAAAATAGCTGGGTGTGGTGGTGCATGCCTGTAGCCCCAGCTATTCGGGAGGGTGAGACAGAAATCACTTGAACTCAGGAGGCAGAGGTTGCAGTGAGCCAAAATCGCGCCATTGCACTCCAGTCTGGCAGCATAGCAAGACTCTTGTCTCGAACAAAAAACGAAAAAGAAAAAGAATGTCATATTAAAAGGAGCTTTTGTTTAATCAGTTTGTACCTGTGAATATTTACTGTATGAGAGTTTAAGGCTGAGAAGTTCAGAATGCAAGCATGCACCACCATATTTTAGAAATGCCCTTAAAATTATGACTCATGAGCCTTTAGCCTACGAAGTTCCAACAATTCATTTCTCTAAAGAAGTTTACTGTACTGTTATTTAAAAAAAAAAAAAAAAGACTGAAAATAGCAAATAACATTGTCTTATTTGACCTCTTGAATGTCCTCCAATGAAACTGCATTTTACTCATGTCAAAATTCAGAACCAAGGTTTTGAACATATATATAGTTTGTGAAAGTCTCATGATCGTAAGCCCTTGATTATGAAATGGCCTTTCAAGTTTTACTTGTGCATTTTTTGCTCTTTTTCTTGACTTGTCATACAAAAGCTTAAATTCAATAGTTTTATTCCTACAGAAAGGAGGAATTTAATTTTTTAATATATTTCTGTCTTGCCTCATGGCATTGTGAACTCTTCAGATCAGGTGTGGACCTAGACTTATTTTTACATGGAAACAATTAGGTTTGTTTCTTTGTTGTTGTTGAGACAGAGTCTTGTTCTGTGATATGGTTCAGAGTGGATAAGCTCTTAAAGCAGTCATCTTTCCAGTGGTTCTTTCTGTGGGAGGTAAAATGGCAGGTGAATTTGGGCCTTGTTTTATGTAGGGCAGAGCACATAGCTACAACTAAGTAAAACACACAGCACATTCCCCAGGAGTATTGGCCAGAGTAACACATTACTATCTCTTGAGCTCTTCTCCACTGGCAGCTGGAAAGTTTTTGCGAGAATCCCTCTTTCTGGTCTGATTCTTACGTTTTGCTGACTTTTGGTGATAGGGTGTCTTATCCTAAACTGAACAGTTTTAACTAAAGAACTAGAATGTGTTGTGTTACAACAAGTAAGTGCAGTAGTTCCCCCTTAACTATGGGAGATACATTTAGAGGCCCCCAATGAATGCCTGAAAGCACAAATAGTGCTGAACCACTGTTTTTTTTCTTTCTATATAGTACTTACATATCTATGATAGTTTATAAATTAGGCACATTAAGAAATTAACAACTAATAATAAAATGAAAAATTATAGTAATATGCTGTAATAAAAGTTATTTGAATGTGGTCTCTTAAATATATGGTATGGTTCTCACCCTTTTTCCTGTGATGATGTGAAGTGATACAGTGCCTATGTAATGAGATGAGGTGAGGTGAATGATGTAGGCATTGCCACGTAGTGTTAGGTCACTATTCACCCCGACTCTAAGTCAGAAAAAAAGATTATCAGCTTTGAGTGTTCCTGGACATTCAGGCCTTAATGATGTTGATGGCTGGATGCAGAAGGAGACCATGTTGATGACTAGGGCTGGACAGCCCATGCAGTGTGAATGCACTGGACAAAGGAATGATTCACATCCTGGGATGGATAGAGGGCAATAGCTCAAGATTTTATTGTGCTTCTCAGACTGGCACACTAACACTTAGGACTTGTTTATTTCTGGAGTTTTCAATGCAATCTGTTTGGAATACAGTTGACTGTTAGTACCTGTAACCACATAATTCAAAACTGCAGATGTAAAATCTGTGTTTGGACTTTGACTCATTTCTTGGTGTACAATTCTTAAAATCCTTAGAATTTCCAAAGTGATGTCTTTTAGTATGCTAATGATCGATGGCTGGAAGCTCCTAGGTAGATTCAGGATGGGAACTGGTACCATCCTGAAGACATGCCTGATTAAGAGGGTTGAGATCTTCTGTCTCACTCTGCAAACTCTGGGGAGGAGACAAGGGCTGAAAGTTGTCAGTCACCAACAGCCAGTGGTTGATTAGTTATGCCTATGTATTGAAGCTTTCATACAGACCCAAAGGGACTGGGCTTGGAGAGCTTCCAGATCGCTGAAAACATGGAGGTTCCTGGAGGGTGGTGTGTCCTGAGAGGGCATGGAATCTCTGTGCCACTAAGCCCCATACTTTGCACTATACATCTCTTAAAATGTACCTTTTGTACGGTCATTCATAGTATGCTGCTAAGTGTGTTTCATGAGTATTTTGAGCCATTCCAGCAAATTCAATTTAACCCAAAGAGGGAGTCCTGGGAACCCCAATTTGAAGTTGATTGGTCAGAGTTCTGGAGTCTCAGACTTAGGACTGATGTAGTGAGGCAGTCTCACAGGACTGAGACCTTTACCTGTGGAATCTGATGCTGTCTGCAGACAGAAAGTGAGAACTGAATTAGACGACACCCAGTTTGTTTCATCTGCAGAAGTGACTGCTTGCCTGTTGGTGGGAAAAACCCTCTCCACATGTTTGGTCACAGAATCCTTCTTTGTTGATGACTTGCTGTGGTGTGAGAGCGGAGAAAAACATGGCAAATGTGTCTTTTCCACACATACAGTGGATAAGGGGTACTGCTATTTACTCTGTTTTAACTGCCCCCCTCAAGTTTTGGTCTAGAAATCATGGTGTTTGACACTGGTCAGTCATGCATAACAAATAAAAAGTAAGGGAAGTAAGAGTTCTTACTGCATTGATTACATACCAATAGGTATAATTTATATTAATTCTAATAAGGTCCAAGGTATGCTCCCAGATGAATGCTTTGTAACAAAGCATCAGTCTTATATTTAAAGAAAAATGATCTAAATCATGTACACAACTGTGCATACTTTTAATGAAGATAGCATCTTGCTATGTTTCCTAAACTGGTCTCAAACTTCTGGGTTTCTCAAGTGATCCTCCTTCCTCAGCCTCCCAAATAGTTGAAATTATAGGCATGCATCACTGTACTTTCTTATGGTTTTAATATTCTATACATTATTGATTTAAAATGCATTTTACCTTTTCCTTTAATAGAGTCTGGGAGTTTTGATGAATCTGCAGTCAGGTAGGATTTTACAGATTTTACTTTCTTATGGTTTTAATATTCTATACTTTATTGATTTAAAATGCATTTTACCTTTTCCTTTAATAGATTCTAGGAGTTTTGATGAATCTGCAGTCAGGATTTTACAGATTTAAAAATTATGTTAACTAAGAAAACATAGATGGAAGAAACTAGTATCTATTGAGTGTTGCATTCTGGGCTACCCACCCTATTATGTGCTATGCATTTATCTCATAAAGCCATCACAACATCTGTTTTCTTATAACCTATTGTTTATTAAATAGGCAACTGTGGTTTAGAGAGGCTGATTAATTGGATTATATGATCCCATAGTTCATAAAGTAGCTGACCCAGAGTTTGACCGTCAGCCTATTTGGCTTTCAAATCTTTTCTCCTGTTCCTCAGCACAGATTGATAGATATCTGAGCAGCACTTTGATCAAGGTGTATGTCTGAATAACATTAATCAGATAAATTATTTTAATGTCTAAATTAATGAGTTTAAATAAGTTAAACTCTGATTTTAGGTTACTATTAGAAATGAGGTTAGTCCTTGAGTTTGTCCCAATAAATTTCATGATTTTTGTGGTAAGCAGCATTTTTATTTTTTTTTAATTAACAATCAAAGCCTTTAAGGCAGAATAAAGGTTTGGCCATAGGAATGGAAGTTTTATAAAACCAAGATTTGGCAAGTCTTGGAGAGAAATTATTTGCCTTCCCAGTTTTGTTTTCCCTTTAGGCTAGTATTTCTGCCTACTTCCGTAAGGCTTTTTTATTTTTCTTTTTCCACGACTTTTCTTCCTCGGTGTTTCTTTTGTTATGTTTTCAAATTCTACTGGCTGTGTGTGTGTTCCCAATTTTCCTATAGACAGAACCAAAAGCCCACAGAATTACAGAAATTTAAGGAGTCTTAGGACTAATTAAAATATCTTCTAGTACTTCAATCTGTGTTGAATGTTCTGGTCAAGGGATTTTCTAGACAGCGAACTCGAGACTCAAAGAGATTAGGCTCCTTTTTTTTTTTGGACATAAGACATGGTAGAAATGAGATTTCAACTCGTTTTAAAGCCCAATAGTCTTCCTTCTTTTTTTAGTCTCTTGGCATGTTTTGTTGTTGTATTTGTTGTTTGTTTTTTGAGACAGAGTTTTGCTCCTGTTGCCAGACTGGAGTGCAGTAGCACAATCTCAGATCACCACAACCTTCACCTCCTGGGTTCAAGCGATTCTCCTGCCTCAGCGTCCTATTTGGGATTACAAGCATCCACCACCATGCACGGATAATTTTGTATTTTTAGTGCAGACGGGGTTTCTCCATGTTGGTTAGGCTGGTCTCAAACTCCTGACCTCAGGTGATCTGTCCACTTCGGCCTCCCAAAGTGCTCGGATTACAGGTATGAGCTGCCAGGCCTGGCCTGGCATGTGTTTTAATAATACAAAGGGGGAGTGAATCTAGTGCACCCAGCAGATAGAATGAGAATGGAATTTAGCTAGTGAACCCAATGGAAATGGCTAAGAATGGAATGAGCAGGGCAAGGCCAGATTTGAAGAGAAACGACCCTGGATACAGATTATTCAGTAAGAGATTAGAATATTGGGGTTTATGACAAGTCTGATAAATTATAAAGATGACGGACACAAGATACTGGGAATTATCTACAAAGGCACATTAAAATAGACGGTTCAGGGAAGCTCTAAACAGATTGCTGTGCTCTTTTTAAATCAAGAACTGACAAACTTGAAGATTTTTGCTGTAAGATGCTAAAACATTTGGAGACTCTGGGAGGAGTCTGTACATCACACAGAAATGTGGTATCATCTAATTCCATCCTGACTGACAGAGGAGGCTTAGAGCCCCTTGAGTACTGATGGGCTCCAGATTGCTGAACTACGTAGATCAGTGGCCCAGGACAGGTGTCTCCTCATCTCTGCCTCTCTTCCCAATTCACTGATGTCCTTCCCATAGCACATAGACTGGGTCAGGGGCATCATTGACTGTCAAATCCGTCATGAAGTTCAGCTGGGTAGTTGGAGGTGTGTCTGTCCTGGTAGTTAGTAGAGACTCTAGTTAGGCTGTTATTCAGGAGCAGGGACATAGAGCGCTCCTACTCCTGGCCATTTGAGGCCATCTTTACAGGAATCTGTGCTTTCAGAGACTGAAGATATCAAGACTGGAAACTGCCATGGAGCCCTGCATAAGTGGAATCTGGAAGTGGGATTCCAAAGGAAGAAAGATATTTAGATAGTTCTTAGGGAAACAGAGGTACAACTGCCAGGACTCTGTTTTTCCAGCAGTCTCTCTCACTGGATATCTGAGTGCCTATCAAGGTTTTAAGGGCTTACTAGTTTATGAGGTCCTGAATAAGGTAGGATCTATAGAGTGAAAATAATTATATTTTTATAATTGTTAATGTTTTAATCTTTCTGGGAAGAGTATCCTCAATAAGAAAATACACCTTCATTTTCAGACTTTTGTACATTTAGCTCTCGTACATTTCAAATATAGTAGGGGATTCTCTGTACTCTTTAGAACAAAGGAAAGCATTGGGACCTTAAGTGGTTTTCATGCTGAGGAATCAAGACTGCCATTTTGAAGTGACAAAGATTAGTCTTTTAACCAGAGATAGATAATGGACAAGAGACAGTGGATCTTTCTACCTTGTTTTAGGTCATAAGGTTCCTTCCAGTTTAGGTGACAAAAGTTATGTCATCCATTAATTGAATTTCATGTTCTGCTTCAGGACAGATAATTTGTGAGGGTACGTTATTGTCAAGCTCTGCCAATGTATCGGCTGTCACTATTTGTTACGGAGCTTAAAGTTAGTTTTCAATGAATATTTTGGAGATTGACAGTTGAAGGCAGAAATAGGTAACCAAAATCTATTTTTAGAACAGGTTATTTAATAGACAGATGGCTGACCTCTTCACACATTGTGTTTTTGTTTTTTGGAGCAGGAAGCTGAATATGAACTGGCAGTTTACAAGTTTATAAAAAAATAATAATCTGATTTATATTTTATATTTTTGCTCTAAAGCATTTTCCACGAACTGTGTGCGGATTCATGCCCGAAACCAGATGATGAAGACTTGACTGTTACTACCAAGGTAAAGTGGTCTCTTGTAAAATTTTCTCACTCAGTCAACTTTTGCATAGTATTAACTTTTAAAATTTGGCAGTGGTTTACCTATTACTGTTTTATGATGGTTATGGACAGTTGGTCAGAGAAAACCATACACACATGGCTAGTTGATTAAAAAATTTTATTTAACAGTAACTAACAAAAGATTGATAAGAACTGTAACAGGGTGGAGGATGAACAAAAATGAACTGGAAGACACATAGCAACAGAAAATCACATTAGGAAATGCTTTCCCCAATAGAGAAAATGTGAAATTTGGTTAAGGTTTAATTAAATATTAATACTTTGACTTTTAAATCATACTACTGTGACATCTATATTTTTGCCAGTATTCATCTTAAGTGGATCAAATTAAGTGTGGTAATCATGGAATCACCCTGGCACCTTTTAGTCGAAAAACTGTACAACAAATAACATATAGCTGTTTTTCTTGGACACTTATTATTTGGGTATTATATACTTGGTTGGTAAGAGAGATTGTTCTTCTACTTATATTATTGGTTCTGTAATGAGACTAAAATATTAAAAATTATAGAAAAAAGTAGCTGGGTGTGGTGATACATGCCTGTAGTCCCAGCTACTTGGGAGTTCGAGGTTGCTTGAGCCCAGGAGTTTGAGAACCACCTGGGAAGCATAACAAAACTGCATTTAATTTATTTTTAAAACTTTTACTAAGTTCTGGGGTACATATGCAGAACGTGCAGGTTTGTTACATAGGTATACACATGCTGTAGTGATTTGCTGCATCCATCCCCCTGTCATCTACATTAGGTATTTCTCCTAATTTTATCCCTCCCCAGTCCATCCAACCCTGCTATCCCTCCCTTATTCCCAACAGGCCCGGGTGTATGATGTTCACCTCCCTGTGTCCCTGTGTTCTTACTGTTCAACACCCACTTATGAGAACCTGCAGTGTTTGGTTTCTGTTGTTGTGTCAGTTTTTTGAGGATGATGGTTTCGAGTTTCATCCATGTCCCTGCAAAGGACATGAACCCATCCTTTTTTTATGGCTGCATAGTATTCCATGGTGTATTATGTGCCACATTTTCTTTATCCAGTCTATCATTGATAGGCATTTGGGTTGGTTTCAAGTCTTTGCTATTATAAACAGTGCTGCAATAAACATGTGTGTGCATGTGTCTTTATAATAGAATGATTTATAATCTTTTGGTATATACCCAGTAATGAGAAAGCTGAGTCAAACGTTATTTCTAGTTCTATATCCTTGAGGAATTGCCACACTGTCTTCCACAGTGGCTGAACTAATTGACACTCCTGCCAACAGTGTAAATGTGTTCCTGTTTCTCCACATCCTCTCCA